CCGAGCAGAACTTCGCCAAAACAACGCGGGCATGGATTCCGACAACTACTTTGCTGCTGGGGGAGCTGACAGCAACAACAACCCGCGGACTACGACACCATCCAGGACATCGCAGGACACGACACTCGAATCACCCACGACGCCAACAGACACGGACTCCGCTTCGCCAGCCCCGATCCCAATGCGTCGATTAACGGTGACCCGCCCTGCCACGCGCAGTCACCAACCCACAGATGACCCTATCGACCCTTCATGCATCCCGAAATCTCTGGAAGTGAACATGAACGACAGAGGCCGCTCTACCATGGCTGTCAGCCACCCCGACCCACTGGAGCTCACCGAGGATCAACTACTCGATCTCACCCACCAAGCGCAGCAACGATGCCCTACTGACGCGGCGGATTTTGCTCACCTGGATGAAGACCCCTTCGCCGAAGTCCGGGCGTATGCTTACGCCATGGGCACCTCGAGCAAAGGGTTCTTGGGGGAGACACACCAAGAGATCAAAACTCCGAGCACGTACACCGAAGCCATGAACTCACCACAACGCGAGCAGTGGAAGAGCGCTATCGACACCGAGATGGGTAATCTCGCCAAGCACAAAGTCTTTAAGAAAGTACGCATCAGCCTGGTACCGAAGGATGAGGACATTTTCGACACACGCTTTGTGTTCAAGATCAAGGCCGACTGCCGCTTCAAGGCCCACTTATTCGCGGGGGACACCGCCAACGGGCAGGACGACACTACGGAACGCTCCAGTCACCCGATTGGGTAGCATCCGCATGCTATTCGCCATCGCTTGCGAACACGGATGGGAGGTGTACCAATTGGACGTGGTAGCTGCATTTCTGAACGCGTACACCGTCAGAGACGTCTACGTCAGGCCGGCGCCAGGCGACGAGGAGAGGGACCACACGAAAGGTGAAATGATGGTCTACAACCTGGAGAAAAGTCTGTACAGCCTGTCACAGTCCCCGTCACTGTGGAACGACGATGATGGTCTAAAAAGTGGAGAAAAGTCTGTACGGCGTGTCACAGTCCCCGTCACTGTGGNTAGCTGCATTCCTGAACGCGTACACCGACAGAGACGTCTACGTCAGGCCGGCGCCAGGCGACGAGGAGAGGGACCCTACGACAGGTGAAATGATGGTCTACAAACTGGAGAAAAGTCTGTACGGCCTGTCACAGTCCCCGTCACTGTGGAACGACGCCATCAATGACAGACTCATCATCTTCGGCTGGCAGCGCACTCACTCTGACCCCTGTGTCTACATCTTCGTAAGCGGGGACGAACTCACAATCCTCACGATCTACGTCGATGACATCATCATCACGGGCGGAAACAAGGAGATCGTCAACACGACAAAGAAGGAACTCATGGACAGCTTGGAAATGACAGAAATGGGAGAGGTCAAGCGCGAAATCGGCATCGAAGTGCAGCGGGACTACGAACATGGCACACTAGCCATATCGCAAGGACCCTACGAGAGAGATATCCTACAGCGATACGGAATGGAACTGACAAACCCGGTCAGCACCCCCGGGTATGGAGCAGAACTATCGACCGAGCAGCCACAAGACCAACTACTCGGACCCGAGGACAAGCAGAGATTCCAGGCCATCACCGGGAGTCTCCTGTACCTTGCCCAATGCACCCGCTATAATCTGTCATACGTAGTGCACCAACTGACACGGGCATGCGAAAACCCAGCACAGGTCCGCATGGCTGCGGCCAAGCACCTACTACGGTACCTACGCGGAACGCCGGACCTGCCGATCGTGTACAAGAAGGGGCAGTTCAGACTCTCGTGCTTCACTTACGTTTGGAGCCAACCCAGACAACGGCAGGTCTACCACCGGATACCTGTTTTTCCCAGGAGGGGGATATTCGATAAAGGCTGACCATTTGACTACATACGAAGTCATCGATGACTGTGCACGTAGTCAAATGGTCAGCCTTTACCGATCAACAGAGGATAACAGACTTGCGGGAAAAATGGGAACGTATCCAAAAATGAGAATTG